TGCACATAGACATCAAATCTTTTTTTTATCAGTCTTGAACCTTTATTTTAGATATGTTAACAATGCAGATTAGACATTTACCATTGCTGTGTGGTTGTCTTTTTTTGTTCCTTGCTCCTCTAACAGTCTCCTCATCTCCCCACTGTCTTTTAGGATCTGCTGTTCACCGTTTGTGCCCTTAACGTCATCTCCACCATTGTGTGTGCTCTAGCCACTGCCATGTGTTGTATGCAGATGGTCTCAACTGATGTGCTGCAGATGGTGAGTGTGATGGAAGGGCTGACAGCAACAATAGAGGACTTTATTTAGTTTTCATTGGCCACCCTGAAGTCTGAAGATCACAATCATCAGGTTAGGTAAACACATACCGCTCAGGAATGATGTTCCAATCTTTATCCATTTTAAGATGATGGAGAGCAATGTTTGAGTTTTTGGTTGAATGATCCTACTTGGTAAATTCAGCTTAGTGTAAATATACACAATGAAGGTCATAGGACCTCCCCAAGTGTTCACCTGCATCTCAGAAATATTTTGGATTTGAAACAAACAGCTTAACTTCTCAGTGAATTTTTCCTCAGAGGTATATCGTCCTCAGTATGACCCTCTTTTGTCATTTTATATGGAACAATTAACCTATTACCAACAGTTAAATGCTTTCAGTCATGAGGGAAATCAGCATGTCCAAGCAAGCTCCCTTTGTGTTTCAACAATAGTTACTTCATGTCTCTAAAGACATCAACAGCAGAGAAGATAAAGCAACACTGCTCATGTTACCAAACAGCTGTGCAATAATATGAGATGCAAGAACCTTTTACACATTCTGTGAACTCTGCTTTAAATAATTTTGCATAGAGGCAGTTGATCTGAAATACATTTATAAATAAAAATATTTCAATGGCTCAAACAGTGCACAGAATGTACAGCCTGCCAACTTTGGAGTACAGAACACAGAACAGGACACAGTTACTGTTTTAGGTTTCTTATGACTCTTAATGCATTGTGACAAACAGTGTCTAACCTGTGAAGATATTGTGCTGGGTCATTCATACTGTATATAACAAGTCACTGTAGTCAAGAATAGGTAAAAAAGTAGCAGCAATCAGAGTGGATCAAGAAGGACAGTGGCAACATCTCCACTGACTCTGCAAGGACCATTTTTCACAGTAATGGCGGATCATGGGAACATTGAATAGTTCATCAGGAGCAGCGCCATAGCGTTGCACTGACTTGGCTGCTGTCTTCCAAAGTAAGAAGTTGAAATCAATAGTAGTAATTATACTCACGACATTTTAAGTTAGCAACATGTGTCGCAACACATTTTACAACCTTTTGACTGTCCATCTCAAATATTGTCACTTTACAGTAATAGATTAGGTACTTCGCTAACTGGCTAAATAAGCTGAGCTATCTACAACAACAGAACACAAAATTAATTTGAAAGTCACTAAAAGTAGTAATTTGCTGATAAATCCCACTGTTCCCTACAGAAAACAAAGGATCTGAGTCAGCTGGTTGAAACTATCTGAAGCTACATAGGTCACGTGACCCACTACTGTTTTTGACCCTTCAATGTTGCCAACATTTCTATCTTAAGGACTCTGGTAGCAACCAGTCTTTTCATGGCTTCCAGAGAAAAACAAGTCTTGTGCCTAAAATAAAACCCGAACTTCAGTCGAAGCTTATGTACAAGGCTTTCAAGATGCTGCTTACAAGTGAGCCATTGATCAAGCCAAACTCTGAGATATTTATAACATGTATAAACATCAGTTTTCTTCCCCTCTAACGTCACCGTATCAACAGTGTCTGATGGCTTCTTTCTTGCATTAGAAAATAGCATTAGCTTAGTTTAGTCTGCATCCATTACTAACTTGTGTTAAAGTTAGTAATGTTTTTAAAAAAACATTACTAACTTTAACCATCCCCTGAGTGTAACTGACAATTCTGAGTGGATGGATGGATAAACTGAAGTAGCTGAATATGATGGCATCCAGCTATTGATTTACAGTGAGGTAAAAAGCAGAAGCACTTTTTCTTATCTTCAACAGAGTTTCCAAGAGTGGCCTCATTTCCCATTTACCACAAGAGGTGTTAACCTTTTATTTAGCTCAGTAAATTTAGCCAAGTCAATAGCAGCAGTGGCAGCCTGGAGATTAGAAAACTCAGGCTGGCTGTAACTGGACTATCCCGCTTAGACAATTCAAGAGTCAAGAGAGTCAATGTACAGTGTTTTAAAAACATTTTTTCAGTGTGGCCCTGCACAAAACATTTGTACTGTAGTTGTTCCAGTGAAGCTTGTTCGGTGACCAGCAACACAAATGTGAGTACATGCACCTGCTTGACACAACAGCAGGGAGGTGCTGGGAACACATCACATTTGAGCAGTCATTTGCCCCTGGACAAATTATGCTTTACAGTTATGAATAAATAACTAAGGATTCATTATCTGGGGTAATTAGGACCTGATAACGGTTCTTTTTATGCTGTGTTTCAGTTTATGCCACACAGAGCGCGAGCGCTAAACGCTGACTGCATGACGCCCCATGGAACCATCCTTCACCAGACACTGGACTTTGATGAGTTTATTCCTCCCATTCCCCCTCCACCATACTACCCCCCAGAATACACCTGCACCCCCTCAATGGATGGACAGAGGTGAGAGACAAAATATTACTCATCAGCATCATATCTTTTTGCAGCGTTAACACAATGTGCTAGAACTCTGGTACCATTGTATCTTCTGGGATACTTTCAGGGAATACACAGCAAATATAGTTCAGACACAATAGCAGCAGTGGAAAATAACCAAGTACATTTACTGAAGTACTGTAATTAAGTATAATTTTGAGGTGTCTGTACTTGAGTACTTTCATTTTCTGCTATACTTCAACTTCACTACATTTTAAGGCAAATGTACTTTTTACTCGACTACATTTATTTGATAACTTTAATTAATTTTCAGAATTGGACAAATAAAACAAAAATACACTATAGTCAAAGACTTTATTGATTCCTAGTAAGAATCCTGGTGGTGCTGCAGAGTATTTCTACACTATGATATTACTATTTTTACTAAAGAATCCGAGTACCTTTCCACTGCTGTACAGTGGCAAACATGTTAATCAGAACCCCCTTTAAACACCTTTTAGTCTAGCATATATTGCTGTATATTCTTTTTTGCCAAAAGAAACATAAAGTACATTTTAGATGTACAATTCAAATTGGCCATCAAGGTGCTGCATGTTCTCTTTACATTGTGCATTTGCACTGGGAGTTTATTTATTTAGGAAATTGCAGAGACCTCTCTGAAAATTTAGTGTCACAATAGCACATTCTGCATATTTAAGATTTAGGATGCATTTTTGGAGCATTGTTTTTGGCAACTCCACAGGCTCCTGTAATTAATCAGGTACTGGACATCTATATGTGACATAAAAGTGGTTATAATTTGAGGCACGAGCAGCAATGACAGCAAAGTAGGTGGAGCAACTGATCATGGGGGTATTATGGAAGTATTACAATAAAGTCAAGAAGACAAGATCTGCCTTTTTTGATGTTTAATTTTGCCTTCTGCAAAAGGAGTCAGTGCATGCAGAAATCAGAGCACTCCACAGGCAAAGAGCAAAGTATGGCATGCTCCCTTCAGTATTTATAATTTCCCTATCAAAGTAAGCAGACATAACGGGATGCCCTTGTGTGCAGAAGACTGTGGCCTGCATCCCCTCTGTTATACTCAGATAACAGAGCACCAGACAGAGCACAGCAAGGAGCACAAAGGTCAACACTCTGCTCTCCTCCTCTCTGCTGTAGGTGTTTTGACAATAGTTTAACCAATAGCAAACATAAAAAACATCTTTCAATTAACATTACACTTGATTTATTATCATTTCAATCACTGGACTTATAGGTCAGGCAAAGCCTCCATGAGGACATACACCAAAGAAAAGAAACATGATGTTTAGTTTGGGAGGTGCTTGAAGGTCTATTGAAGGTCTATTGAAGGTCTTTTGTTGGTGGTCAGGTTAAAAACTGATTTAACATTTTTATTTATTGAAGAATGCCATGGTGACGATAGAGATGCCCAAAGCAACATTTGCATCCAAAGACAGATCCACATCCATCATATTAGGCTGCAGTAGCATACTGTATGTCTGTTTACTATCTGACTGTGACTGTAACATCCATGGCCACCTGGAGCATTTCCTTCCGTTAAGCAGCTGTGATTTTCATGATTCTCAGCTGTGGTGAAAGTTCGGTTGACCCCCCTCCCTCATTACCCTGCCCATTTTCTCAGTGTTGTCAAAGAGAGTGCTGCTCATGTAGCCATTTGGCAGGAAGTCCCATCTGTTTGTGAGCTATGCCATAAATATAAACAAGGCAGAGGGAATGTTTTATGGTGTCCCTGCCCGGGGCTATGGATGTGTCATGACATCATCATGCATCAGATAATTGGTGAAAAGTCTCAGGATGTATTTCATGCTCTGCCATTTTAGAGGAGAATGGGGTTGTAATTAAAAAATATAACTGCACGCATGGCTGCTTATTCTTAATTATGAAACGGGGGTGGTGCACAGGCACTACTCTTATATATCACCCAGACTTGAGTGTTGGAGATGAGGATATTTTTCATCATTTCTTTCTTAATGTTTTAAATAGACAATTTAATGTATTCTTGACTCAGATTGGATTTTTATCCAGGCTCCCTTCCTGCTAACCTCTGGCAAATAAACTCTGTGTCCTTCTTTTATCACATGGCCTTTTCACAACTGTTGTATTATTGTAATTATTTTAATTCAGAATTATGTTTTAGACCTTTACTTTTAATTTTATTACCTTTTAGCTTTGTTTTTACTTAAATGCATCTTGTAACTGTTTTGAAAAGTGCTAAATGAAATGACTACTGTTGTTGTGCCAGTTTCTTAAACACTCTGCACTGCGTGACTGGTGTAATGCACTCCTCCACTCTTTGAATTTCTGTCATTTGAAGTATCATTTGTATTTTTTACAGTTTTTTTTTAATTGTTGTGTTAAAACTCTGCCTTTCTGTCCCTTGCAGAGGCCTGCATCTGGACTTTCCCCATTCTCCCTTCGGTGCCATCTATGGGGTGCCTATCAACAGCCCAGGGACCCTGTATCCAACTGACCTGCCCCCTCCATATGAGTCTGTGGTGGGACAGACCCCTGCTAGCCAGGTGAGCAAAAACAACCCACTCTGTCTTTAAAGCAAGTGTCTCCTGAACTGTCTGTAAAGGTAACCAAGCATCACATTCATTTATATATATATATTTATATATATAAAAAACAAGCAAAAATGGAGGTCAGTTTTTCTAATCTAAGAAGTGAATTGCTTTTAAAAAATGTAGTAATGTGGTTAAAATTTGAAATTTTATTGAGATAGCATTCTAAGCAAGGGGACTTCAAGGTTAATCCTCAGATTCAGATTTTATTATAGACCTCAGGCCTGAGGATAAATTGAATATGACAAACATGTAATTTGTCAGATGTTTTGTACTAAATAGCTTGTCTGTTTTTTATGTGTTAAAATTGTATTGCTACTATATATATATTTCAGATTCATATAGAAAATGTTGTTGTCTAGTTTTGTCATTTTGTCAAGATGATAAGTTAAAAATCAGCAATTTTAATCTGAGTATCATCTACTGTTTCAAACATACTGTGGTGATCTCCTGTGACTTCCTTTGACTGAGCTATTCAGGTTCATTGTTAAAGCTAAAAATAACTATCTAATGTGCTAGCAAATCCTTTTATCTTGTATTATATTCTCAACCTCATTTAACACCTTAGGCATTTCATTTCTTATTTCATTACACATTATTTCCATAGTCCTCTTCACACTCATTTTGAAAACTGCCCTTCAAAAAGGAATCTATAGGTTGTTTTCTAACTTGCAATAAAATAGCAGCAGTTGCTGTAAATAACAAATGGAAGCAGGAAGTGATCAATTGCAGAAAAAGCGAGAGGGCAGATGATAATCAGTTAATGATTTCAAGCAAGAGACTCTGCATAATTTGACCAACCAAGTTATATGGATGTATACTTTACCTTGAAAAGCACATTAGTGAGTTTAATTAAAGCCTCTTATTCAACTCTACATGATGCAATAGTTTTCTCTACCTGCCCTTTAAAGCTAAGATATTATGTTAGTGTGTTGTGGTCTTATAGAGCCCTCTATAGACCAAACCGTGGTATAGTTTGCTGCCACATCTGCTGTTATGCAATACATACAAAATATCCAGTAGGAACTGAACTTCTTCTTTATATGCTCAAAGCATTTTATTTAAAAATGCTGTTATGTTCTCCATCTCCACCAATAATCTCCTCTTTACAGGTCACCACCAGCATAGAGCAACAGGCCACTGGATCTAGTCTGTGTGAGAGAAACACCACTGCAGGACTCAGCACTCAGGGTAAAGACTGTTGGAACATGACAGTAAACACTGCAGAGGATTGTCAGATGTCTTTGCCTATTAATAATTGAGCTGATTGTACTTTTCCCCGTTTTCAGCCTCGGTGGATAGTGCATCACTGATGGTATCAGAAGTGGCTGATCAGGACCAGACTTGTTCTTCAGAGGACTTGTGTTCCCTGGAGGTCCAAGGCTCTGACTCCTCACCCTATGGCACACTCCACACTGCCCCCACTGATGGAAGCTGCACCAGTCTGGAACTTTGCACACGTGACTCCTCACGTTGCCATCATGGCCTGCCCAGGACTGATGCTCGTCCTAGTGATACTGGATACAGTGAGTCTTCACACACCCAGGAGTCTCTGGAACGCTCTCCGGACTGGTCCTCTGAAAACTTTAGCAATCTGGACCAGGAGGATTCTGTAGATAACATACATCCATGTGAAGACCTCAGGGCTGCAATGCACATATGTGACGAGCTTGCATCGGCCAAACAATTACCAGATGAACCACCTAAACCATCAGCACACTCCCTCATTAAAGCACGAATAATGAGCCGGAAGCTCACGCTCCCGGTCAGTATCCCCCCACCACCTCAGCCTTGTTCTCCCACCTCTGTGACCTCCTTGGGAGGATCTTCAGCCATCAGTCCTTTGGCTCCTTCTCCTTCCCCTTCCCCTACTAACAGGCCACGTGGCCCCAGGCTGTGCTTCAGTGTTTGGTCACCCTCCTCCACATCACAGCCACCCTCTACCTCAGCCCAAAGTGGCTCCTCACCCTCAGATAAGCCTTGGGGGCTCCGAGCAGCAAGAAGGTACCGCAAGCTGGCACGCATTGTCCGCTCCAGCAGCGACCCTATTTCCTGCTCCTCTACAACAGGAAGTAAGTGCAGCAAGAATATTACACAGGTTTTATACAAAGCATAAATACTGCCTTTTAGAGCTTACAGTAAACCATTAGTTAGTAAAGAATAGTGGATCACTAGTAACAGCTAATTCCTGCTTTTTTGGTCTACATTAAATTTTTTCCCCTTCTACAGGAGAAAATGGCAGCTGCACCTCTGTAAACAACCCTGCTGCTGAAGATTCTGTTCATGCTTCACCAGATCGAGGTACAAACATACTAATTATGAGTTCATGTAGTGATGGGTAACTCAGCAGTGGTGGAAGAAGTACTCAGTCTTTTTATAAATAAGTTTTCAAAAAAAGTTTCAATTTTAGTTGAGTTGCAACTTTGAGTTGACAATGAAAATATGTTACTGACACAGAGAACTGTTAATCCACTTTACTCAAAGCACCAACCTCACTGTGTATTAGCACTGGTTTTTAAAGAACTATGTTATTAAATGTGTTCTGACAGTTTTTCTGTTTTACTTTCAGAACTAAGAGATGTTTCAACAGAGGTAGTTGGAGCTAAACCTAGTCGCATGTGTGTCAGGAAGCAGCAGAAAGAGGACAGGAAAGTTGACATCCATTTTAAACCCCGATCCTTACACACACACTCCACCCATGAACGTCCACACTCCCTGGCTGACCTTAAGATGTACAAAGACACAAAAATATTGGTGGCCAAATTCCTGGAGCATTCGAGCTGCAGTCTACCTCCTGATGTGCAACAGGTTGTCAACAACATCAAATGTGTCATCAAATCGGATGAGAAACACATGGAGGAGGCCATCTTTAGTGCCAGTGTCATAGATCAGGTACAGTAACTGGATAAGACAGTGTATAATATAATAGTTCAATGCAAATTAGGAAACTGCCTTCTTCCATTTGGTTTGGATGATTACTAGTGATCCATGTACAAAATAAATGGGCAACCTTAGGTTAGAGGCCCTGTATTCCCTTTACACACCAGAAAAATATAGAGGAATTTAAAAAAATGGGGAGAAACCTTTACTAGTTTTAAATGTTTACCAGAGGAGCACAATCAGAAAGTTTCATAACTATGATTATCACGCATAAAATAACTTGATAAGGTGCTGTAATCTTCATAATTGTGAAAGTGAGATTCAGTTTGAGTGATTTTTTGAAAATATGTTGGCTCTAGGTGCTTCAAGGAGGTAATTTACATATTTCCCTAATTAGCTTGTTTTGAGAAGTCTGCAGCTTGCTTTTAATGCACTGAGAAGAACTGCTGTACCAAAAGGTGGCAGCATAATCAAAATGACATTGCACTAAAACTCCCAATTGCTACACTATCAAGCATGGCTGCTTTCCTAACTAAAATGTATGTCTTTTGACAGAGTTTGCTACATGCAAGTCTGCATAATAGCACCTTAACTAAAAATTCTGGACTCTTTCTTAGCTTACCAAATGAACAGAATAAGATAGTCATATTTTTTTTCCTGAAGTGTAGAGAAATCTTATAAGAAATAATAAAAATTTATGAGTACAAAATCATAACTAGCAGTGAAAAAACACTACAGTATTTATTGTTATTTTTCTAATATAAATTCATTGTGAGCATTTTTTTACAGTGGAATTATATCAGTCTACATTAAAATGTCTCTCTTACACATTCTTTTCAGTGATATGTTGCATAGCAGTGCTACTGGTTTTCATGGAGAGTTGTATTGACTCAAACACAGTGTTTCAGCTCATATAAGTGCAATGCAAAAAACAGACTACTAGCAACATGTGTCCATCTTTCATTCTGCATGTAATGTTGTGTTTCCCAGGTGATGACCGGGCGTATCCTAGGCAGTCCTAGGAAGCGTGGTCATGAGGATCTTCACCTGCAGAGCTGCGGCGCTTTGAGCTTATCCCCGTCCCATTCAATGCATCGTCCCAAACATCTCCCACAAACAACCAGCACCTCCACTAATCCACTAGACTCCCCCTCCTCTGAACAAAGCCTTGAGTGCAGAGAAACTATTCTCTGACCACTCTCCCAACAAGGACTTGGGTCAAAACTCTGAGGGCATTACAGGATGCTGGTATTGCAGACACGCAGTGCTGTGCAGCACATCTGTAGAGTAACTAATAACTCTTCAGGCATTGTGAGGACATTTATGTGCATAGTGTAACTGCAGTAAAAGCAAACAGATATGCTCTCATAATGTATTTCCTAGTGCCCTCTGAGTCCATGCCAAGTCATCAGCAGAAATGGTAGCAAGCTTAGAATGAGCCTGCCATTGCCTGACATGGCTTCTCTCTCATCAGAAGAACAAAGAATGTTTCTCCCTCAGGGGATCTTTTCTACTGAGCTTCATCTCTTAAAAAAAAGAAACACACACGGCAAATTTGGATCGGTGACTGAAAGACAAAGGAGATTATGTTTTCAATAGTTCTCTTCTTCTCATAAGAATCGGAGAAATATGTTCATATTAAACTGTGAACTGAACCAAATGGGCATTGTTTGCAGACTTTGTGGTACTGTTACTGATGGTGGTGAATATTTTGTGGAGCCGCTGGTTTAAAAAGATCATGGATGTGGATTATTTAACTTACCTCAAAGTGTTACAATTCTTATCAGTGTTACAATAAATTTGAATTTGTATGTTGTAGTTTGTGCTTTTTTTCAGTGAATGTTTCAGGATGATGTGTGTCAGTCATAGGCATTATTAGCATTTTGAATATCTGGTCATCTCAGCCAGGGCTGGTCAAAATAATAGAAACACTGTACAATACAGCAAGCTTACAGATACTTTCCCTTTGCAGTATTGCTCAAATTTGTAATGTTTCTGACTAATACACTGGCAGTACTTCCAGAAATGCTATTTTCTTTTTTGCTACACAAAATCCTCACTCACTGAATAACAAGTAAGAAGTGTTTTAACTTACACAATGTTTATCTGTAAAGGTAAGGTTTTAATGAGAAGTTGGCTAAGGTACGGATTACTGTTGCACTGTTTTTGCATACTTTGTTTTCAAGATGGCACGCAACACTTGCTTGATATCGAAATTATAAATATATAATTAAATTTGGACCATTAGATCATTACAACTGTAAAATGTTCTTCCAGTCAGCCAAGTACTTCCGGTATTTGTGCACTACCCTTGTTTTCTAAGGTACCAGAGGTTTGCTTTCACTGTGTGACTAATGTGTTCCGTCAATCATTTAAGACCTAAGTGAAGATTTCTGAATGTCGCCTACAAATTGACTTATATGTGTCGATCAAAGCTGAAAGTAAAGCCACGGAGACGCCAATGACACGTTCGTGCTGTTATTTTGAAACGCGTATGCGCTTTCGGTAGCGGATATGGCGCATACGGATTGCAGCTAGCTTGACGCAGCGTAGTCCTCATGTTTTGTTGGTAACAAATCGCGGACTGTGATGCTAAATCTGTGTCCTTTGTGTTTGCTGTGAATTGATTAGTCAAATTGTAGGGGTCGCATCAGTACTGGGCAGGAAAAGACGATGCTCTCGAATCTATCGTCGACAGCTAGTGCAAAGTGGTTAGCTGGATATTGTTAACGTTACTATTACCTAACATTAACGTAAGGTCTGAGCCGAAAATCATCAGAGATCTTCTTACACAAGGAGTCTGTGAGTAAAGGAGCTCAAATGGTCAGTATATGCAGTGTCCTGTAAGACTCGCGAGATATGTAGCTGAAGGCTAACCATACTTGGCTAGCTTACGTTATATGATTTTGCGTGTCCACGTCTAGCCTCATCTGCCGTGTTTAACGTTGCCAGCTGAGCTAGGCCACGTCCCATCGGGCGTATTTCATCTACTGGCATTGGACGAATTCTACAGAACATGATTAGCTTGCGGACACAGGAAGGACAGGAATGATCAGTAGAAATGTATATAGTTTTTAGTGAGTGCGTGTGTTTGTAGTGTTAGCAGTTAAGAACAGTTGCCGCATATGCATGGCGTGTCACGTAGACGGATGTATTTTACACCGGAAGAATACTCTCACTGAGTTCTGTGGGTTGCAGTAACAACCTGAAGTAAGGCTACACTTTGCTTTTTTGAAATGGTTGGATTTGGTGCAAACCGACGGGGAGGCCGCCTCCCGTCCTTCATCCTCATCTTCTTGATGGTGATCATCGCCATACTGTCTTTCAACTACTGGAGGGTAACCAGCAAGCACGGCCGCTTGCTGGATGAGGTGGCAGAGGTGCAGACGCAGGTGAAGCGCACGGAGGCGGCGCGGAACCGGCTAGAGAAGCGAAACACGGAGCTGATGGTGCAGGTGGACACGCACAGGAAACAGATCGACCAGAAGGATAGAGACCACAGCGTCCTGGAGGGCAAGCTGCAGACGCGAGAGGCGCTCGTCAGAAAGTGCACCGATGAAAAGGTACCGTGGCAACGTCAGATCCCAACCTGGCTCTGCGGGAAGTTAGCTGCGTTTCACCCGTACCTTATTTAGTGAAACCAGGCACAAGGAGGACACGTTGCGCTGTGCACATGTAACCAAAGTTTCCACAAACTGGGGAAAGCCCTTTGACAGAACTATTCTCGGTTAAGGCTAGGTGACAATACCAAAGCCAAGAATCTTAGTAGTTTTTGAGTCTTTGCCTATGCATTAATTGGCTTTGTGTTTTTAATACCCTGCTAATGCAGGGTATTTGCCAAGGGAGGTTCAAGTTCTTAGATATTTTATCTGACCTGCCACTGTCAGTAACGTTGCCTATAATTTGTATTTTCATATCATTTTTGCACAAATTGGCTGGACCAACAGGGCATGTTTTGATACCTGCGTTTACGGTATCGACCATGAAACAGGTATCAAACCTGCATTTTGTTGGGTCTTACAAATATGTGGCATGAACCATTTAAATGCTGTAGGTATGAGGATATAGCAGCAATGAACTTCCCTTGTTTGTTTAACCACGCTAGTCAGATAAGTTTAGATAAGTATCGCTCATCTGTAACACAACTAGTAAAAGAAAGTATTTCTGTTACATCTCAAAATGACAATATGTAATTCTTGACCCCATATCAGGACACTAATATACAGTGCATGCTGTTGTAAGCTTCCTGCCCCTATAATTTGATTGATTTTTGATTTGATGTATTCATTCAAGCATGTAAAGCCAGTTGATATGTCAACACATGTAATTTCACGCATATCCAACAATAATAATCCAATATCAATTTACTTATACCTAGTACATGCTTGAACGGAGTAGGAAGAAGTCAGACTTATCTAGTCCTACCCCATGACATCATCTTACAACTTTTAAGTCCTAAGCAGTATCTCTACATAAATAATTATCCTCTACACCACACAAGTAATATACCACAGAATTATTACAGTGTTAACATTCTATATAATTATTCATAGATAATTATCTTCTACGCCACACAAGTAATATACTAAAGAATTATTACAGAGTGCTAACATTCATACACCACACCCACAATGTTCCATCTGATTAATCATTAAACCTGTTCTTGCATATATCTTGATTGACACATACCTTTATATTTATGTTTAAACTCATCAATTCTAGTACTATTTTTTATGTCCACATTTAAATTATTCCATAGCTTTACACCAAACTAATAGGTAGAGCCTGCACTTGAAAAACTTGTCTAACTTGTGAGGGAGGGAGAGTTTTAGTTCATTGTATTTACTTGAAAGAGGAAGCTGATAGTCATTATGAAGAGAGTCTGTGGCATCAAGTTGCAGATGCAATTCATTTTTGGCCAGGAACTCCATCTGCACAATTTCATCCACCTCAGGGGCTTTCACCTGAGCTGCGCTCCACCAACAGTATTTTTCTAGAAGATCACAGCTCCTAGCTGTCTCTCGTATTTTAATGTCTCTTTAGGTTTTGGAAGAAAATGGTGTTCCTGCACTGTGCTTGTGCTTCTAAGACATTAAGTGTGGATGCTAGGTTGTTTTGTTGTCCACCCTTAGTTTTGAACGTGGTTGTTTAAAATTCAGATTTCCCATTATTTGTCCCACTTGGCTTTCTCCTAATACAGAATAGGGTACATTATTGCTTGCCAAAGAAAAACAAATTGAACTTGTTTTTTTTTTGCACTGTATTTATATTTTATTGATCTGTTTAACCAGCACATTTTTTAGCATTTGTTGGGCTTTGTGTATTCACTGGTTGGTCTGTGTGTATATTCCACAAAGCTTTTCCCACCTCTTGCCTTGTGCAGTGTCCCAGCCAGCAGTCCAGTCTTTTGTTTCCCAGTACTCTCTGAACATTGGTTTGTGTCCAGCAGCCCTGACAGATGTTAAGGCAACACATGTGGGGGAGTTTTCCTGTAATTTGCATCATGGACAGAGAAAATTTGTTTACCTTATGTTTTGTTAAGTATGGATTGCTGTCCTTGTCAAACCACTGCTAGTCTACAGCATCCAGCCAGAACTAAACCATGACACATTAAGAAATCAGGGTGGGATGTTGCCGGGGTCGCATGACATTTTAACAAGAAGCAGAGGATTGCTTTATGCCTTATTCTCAATTTGTTAATTTCACTCCCCACTAATAATTAGAGTTGTACAGAAAGAAACACAGTATTCAAGATATTCTACAGGAATAGCAGGTTGTAGGAAGTACACGAATAGCACTTTCTAGTTTTGCTTAGCAGTCTGACATATTCACCAACCACAACTCATTAGCATTTCCTCTCAGTGTGAGACTCCTGTTCGTTACTTGGGGAACAGCACTGCTTGCAATGGGCCGTACATGCACACATGGGTAAACATGCCCAGCAAACAACTCTGTAATTAAAATCGGATAGTGGTATTTAAAACTGAATAGTCGGTTGTATCAACATAATCTTTAACGGATAAATAAGAGACACGAGTCACCTGTCAGCTGAATGGGGACATTTTTAAAATGATCTCCTGTTCTGATACTTTTCTTCTGCTGACCATCACCCACTGTGTTTGTGAGCCAAACCTCTTATGCTGTGGCCAAATCAAATCATAGCGAAACAGTGGCCCTGTAACAGTTTGCCTTCTGTTCAGCTGTTTGCTGTGCTGGCACTGTCTGATCTTCTACAGACATTTTATTGGCCAGTTTCTGTTTTTATTCCAAATGTATATGCATCATTTTTGACAGTAAAATCCCTCTTGGCAGCTACATTGTTTGCTCGAGTAAGAAGAAATTTAGCCAAAGCTTAAATATTTTTTTCTTTGTCCTACTGATAGCAACCGAAGTATCCGGCTTCCTGTTTTCATGGAGGGAGGTGTTGAATAACAGCGATTATACACCTTATCTTTATCAACAGCCCAACCCTCTTTCAACAGAGATGCATTCTGCGCACAGTGATAGGATGTCTGCAGTGCAGACAAAATAGTGACAGGCGAGTCTGGGTCAGTACAACATATTCAGAAGCGTAGATATAGCGAATTCCATAAGTAACATGTTTTTGAGAAGAGAACAAAGTGTATCCATAGAAATCTCTTGAATTCACGTCAGCACTATCCACTGATAATGCTTTGTTTTGACAAAATATGGCTAAATGCACTTTATCTTCTGTGATTTTTTTTTCCCCTCTCAATGCTCTGCCAGAACTTTTCAGTCTTCTTCTGTACTTTGACAGAGCAGCTGTTTTGTAACATAAGGAGGCTGTAAGCACTTTGGACTTTTTTAGTCTGCCTTAACACTTGTCATCATTGTGACATAAAGGCCTGGATATTATTCAACATAAACACGGCTGCCGTGTTTTGAGAAAGATGAAAATATAATTTTTGGACAGCCATGTTTCAAATCTTCAGTGGCTGTGTTTGATACTCAAAAAATAAGAAGCCCAGGTTTCGTTCCTCTGTGCCTCTGCCCGTAACTTGTCTGCTCCTTCCCTTCATACACCTGAGAGTTTTATTAACGTACAAAATCACAGTGAACATCAGTGTGGGATACAAGTATGGTTTTAAGTTTCATACCTGTAATCACAGAGCAGTTATACTGGATTGCATTACAGTGTACAGGTGTTTCTATTCTCCTGGTCACTCAATGTATCTAAAGTGCCTCAGAAAAGCTTGCTTTAAAAAAAAAAAAAGATCATTAACCAGCAATGTACACGCTGTCAACTTCCGTGCTAGTATCTTCTACATGTTACAAAGGCACTAGTCAATTAGGTTGAGTGAGATACTTAATTTTCCAATCATTCATGTGAATTGCTCCTCACTGGTTTTGATAGGCAGGAGATTACCTTGCCTTGTAGCAACCACACACTAGCGCAACCTCTTTGTGCCATGACAGTCTAAGACAAACCTGTTCCCCATGATTTTTCTGTTCTAATTATGGAACGTGTGGGACGGTTTAGTTTTCAGTGACTTAGCACACTGACTTTTAATTCACAGCTGTAAAACTGGTTTCAGGTGTAGAAGACTTAAACGCCCCTCACTTAAGATTTCTGAACCAGTTTTTCCTCTTTTCTATACAGATGAAGCTGCAGGGTGATGTCACAGCCCAGATGACAGAAATTCAGAGGCTGAAAGGTGAGGCTTCAACCACGTCTGGCCCACAGAGGGCGTGCTCCGACACGCTGGCAAAATCTATCAGTAGTGCATTTTTAGGGATTTCAGAACAGTTGTGGTTCATTTAACAGACAAGAATGAAAATATTGTTCGTGTGTGTGTGTGTGTGCGCATATGTTTGCAAACAGAACAGCTAAAGGAGCTGAAGCAGGAGTTCATGAAACAGGAAGAGCAGCTAAGAGAAGTGAAGAAGAATAGCACTACACTGGAAAGAAAACTGGAGTACGAGAGGTATGTTAAAGCTTGGGGTTTTCCTGGCATGAAAGAAGTGTGACATGATGTCTAAAAACTTCTCAATATGTGCATTATTGCATTCATAATGATGGTTATTGATTTTTTTAAAATAAATATTTACTCCAATTAGATAATAGGTCATTAGTTATTTTTATTCCCTACTTCTTTGCCTAATCTGATGTCAGTGATGTTTCACTTATTTTGGGTGTTTTAACAGTTTTAAATAATACCTTGTTTAGCATCAGTCTTGCATTTTTGCCTTTTTGCACAGATCAGTTTTATATGCTGGAAAAAAACCCCAGATAATGTGAGTGAAACTTACGAGGAGTGTGTTTTAACTAGTTTACAGTGTGGACGCCAGATCGCACAACTGAAAGACGAGTATGAAGAATCAAAGAAGAACCTGGTGGCAGAAGCATCAAAGCTAAGACTGGTGAGTGTTGATCAAATCCATATGCTAAAATGTTGTATCTGCTGAGCCTCCTTCTTCCTGGTGCACACTGCATTTGTGCAGCACTGTAGCATTCATTTGTCCTTGAAAGTAGCAGCTAAACTCAATTAATTCAGCTCTGTGTCTGTATTCCTGTTCATGCTCCCCTACTCATTAAACAGTCACACTCTCCATTTTCCACATGCCCCTTTTTCTGACCCACCTTTGATATTTTATCAGAGTGCAATGGATGGTCAGAAGGGCGCAGTGGCAGGTAGACAGGTAGATGTGGCAAAGGATGGAGAGCGCCATACAGTGGCCACTCACCAGCTTAATGGTCCAGATTTAAAAGGTACAGTGGTTTTGAAGGTGTCCGCCAAAGTTTATAGACCATTCTGTTGCTATGCACTTGCATGCCTAAATATAGTATTTGTTTATATAACTGTGTAAGTTGGAATCAGCAAATTATTTTAATGTCAGCCTTTTCACCACCTAAGTCACATTCATTCTGCTGCTGTGTTACAGAAGAGATGGGGAAGCCTGGCAGTGATGCTGGTATGCCTGGTATTGAAGACAGCGAGGTGGGAAAAATCGACGACGTGCACTTTGGTAAGCAACGGACATAAACTTTTTAGATTGACAAACCCAAAAGCAGTATGGGAACAGGATGTCAAACAATCTGTTTAAATTAACATCAGACTGGTTAGGTTTTAAATATGGACTTGTACACATTTGCTTCTTTGAGATTTTGAACCTGCGACCTGTTAGGGGACTGCATACAGCCACAGGTGAGAGAAGTAAACTTGGCCTGTACAAACACAACAGTTAAAAATAGTAAAATAAAAAAATAAACTGACTACAGAAGTGACTTAAGTATTTACTACTGTACATAGTGCTGTGTTAGGGTCAGACAGTCCTCCTCCCTTAGGTCTGTGACACATCAGGTCGGCAGTTGGTTGCTGTCGGTGAGCATCTGTTGCCCTGGTTTTTGTGGTGTGTCCTGCACTGTTGGCACTATTTGGACCTTATTGGGGGCTTTTCAGCCAATTCAGCATGTTGAACTGGTGGTGGACCCCATCAATGAGAGAGACCGCCACGCTAGTTCTTTGGTGTCAGCTTGATGTGTCTGTCTTTATATGGCACTGAATGTGATGTCTAAAAAACAGCTTTAATGGGGTTATCGCTCCAAATGCCTGCTATATTTCTGTCCTTGCGGAAAGTAAAACGCACAAAAAAACTCATTAAATGCACTTATATTCTCACTGTGCTTCTCCACTTATGTACAGCCTTGAAGAAATCAGGCATCAATCCAAAGCATGACGAGGCCCCTGATGTGGTTGTAGAAGGTGGTGCTGGACCTGGAGTCGGGGCAGCTGATGGCCCTGGAGGCCAAGGCCTGGCCCTGGATGAGCCCAAGCTGCAGCAGGACAGAATGGAGGGCCAAGCAGTAGGGGTTGCACCTCCAGGCTCCAACAAACAGGCAGACAAACCGATAGTGTTTGAAGAAGACAATAAGGGACGTATCAAAGCAGATGAGCTGGGAGAAGAGCAGAGACAAATTCAAGGTACAGTATGCACCACATCCATATCATTGGTATTAATTATATTAGTCTCTGGGCATGTGATAATTTGTTATCAAGTTTCATTGAAACAGATTTACTAATTGAATGCTTTCATGTACTGACTAGTTAAATGAAAGCAAATGCAGAAAACTAAGTTTTCCTAAAATTGTGTAGCATCTTCAAACCTACATTAAAGACCTGAAATGTAATGGGTTTGCCACACTGTGCCTTAGGAATATTTAAAACGCATTTATTGACTTGATTATGAAATGGTAAAGTTGTAACTGAGAAGATTTAGCTGTAGCAGGTGACTAAGTGCTTTGCAAATTTTGCCTCTTTACTGAGGTATAACAAAGAAGATTTTGGGCATTTGAGTTTGGTTATACATGCAACAGCACCCAGGTCTCTTTCTTATTGTCAGCTCCTGATAATGTCAAGGGTGACGGTGAACACCTGAAGAGGAATCCTCTGCCACCCAAGCCTGCTCAGGCACCAAACCCCATCCAAACTCCCCACGCCAAAGAGCAAGTTCCTGCAGAGCCATTACACCACCGCCAAAGTGAGTTCCTCACTTGCACTTTAAAAAAAGGGAATGTTGTAATTGGCAAGGCAGACAGGGTTTGGGGTGTATTGTTATTCATCTGTTATTTGGTGATTGATTTTGAATGGAGAAAAACATTATTACACATGAATAAAGTAAAATCACAGTGCTTAGCTGCTGCCTCCCAGCTCTCTGTGTATCAGTGCAGGGAATTAAACTGAATTTGGTGTCAGTTTTGCCCTCTACTAACTTGTTAAAACCCTAATTCTACATAACACATTTTCATGAAAGTTAGAACACGTACAGTATATCCATTTAGATGCAAGACTTTCCTGACTATGGTTAGGATCACTATCGGAGAGTAGGGAGGGGTCTCGGTTGAAGAGGAGAGGAGACAAATGAGGCACACCTGGCGTCCAGATGATCCTGTCCTGCTCCCTGGCTTCTGCTCTGCTGCCTTTTCTCCCTCTGTTTTCAAATGTTCTGTTCTTTCATCTCACTTACATCCATCTCGCCCTCTGCAGCACTGCTGCTTAAAAACTCGCTGTATTCTGTTCACATTTTGTTTTTCTTCTAATCTTCTGCCTCTAATCTCTTGATGCTTAGATCCCGTTAAGGCAAATTAACCTCCAAGACTCACCAGCTGTCTGGTTTTTGACAGTGGTGCTTATTAAAACGACCCTTGAATTGAATCAACATTTTTCACCGTACAAACCAAAACTAAACACAAGATTCATTACAGGCCTATGGTATTTGATTAATTGATTGGCTTGTTAACTCACTTGGCACTCAATACTTTCTAGACTGTTACAGTACTGGTCCCTCATTAAGGGAACCCATTTGTTTCCACTGGGCTTTCTGTTTTCAAGTCCATGATTGAATTTCCTTTACACTTCAGAAACACTTATGTTCTAATTGAAATCTGACACCACGTGTCTATTCACCTCATCTTCCTTATCTGTCTCATCCTCTTCATTCATTCATTATACAGTTTTTCACCCATTCCTCCCTGTCTTCCTACAACTGCCTCCGCTTCCCTTCCTGATGAGGCCCTTCTCTGCCTCCTGCAGGCCGGTTCTTTGATGAGAACGAATCCCCAGTAGATCCGCAACATGGCTCTAAGCTAGCGGACTACAATGGGGACGATGGGAACGTAGGTGAGTACGAGGCCGACAAGCAGGCCGAGCTGGCCTACAATGAGGAAGAGGATGGTGATGGTGGGGAGGAAGACGTTCAAGGTGAGCCAGGGCGGGGGACTGGACTGCCTGTCCAGATGTGTGTTCCTCCATTCCTCCTTTGCTCCTTCCCTCCACCCGTCTTGCTGCCAACCACTGCATTTGTCTCGACAATTAGTTGCTCACGGTACCTTGGGTTTGGTCCTTGAATCCATCACAAACTACAGCTATTCAATAACTATGACAAACACCTTCAGGGTAAAAAGCAGGACTGCTGCATATGCAGTTCAGGAGGAGTAACTGAAATGTGATAGGTATTGTTTTTAATTGAATAAGCACAGTAACAATCTTAGCACCCTATTCTCCCACGCACAGGGAAAACGTCACCCAGGAACTTAAGGTTCTGTGAGAGTATTTCCATTGCCATCTAGTACTTTCTTTTCTGCTTGTGCTTCTTTTTAGCTATACCACCTGTCTGTGCCCACCAAACATGTGACCCACATCTAGACTAGTAGATAAATATAGCTCACTGTGTCCATGAGTGTATCTGTGTTCTCCTTGAAATATTGAAATGCATGCCCATGCTTTTTTTCTTTGTTGTAATTGTTTGCTGCCTATTAGATTAAAATGTTCAAATTTGATTTGTGTGTGACAATACTGCCTTTGGAGGAAACCGCCTTTATCTAAAATAATTTCAGTCATGTCTGTCTGGTGATTAGGCTATGATTTATTGGGTATTTTTTCCCATTACATGTGTTAAATATCTAGTTTGTATACAGTCTCTAATTTGAATAAAAATTTAGGATGCTAGATAGATGTATGAAAGGTTTCCTCCTGCAGTTGTGTGTTCTCATATTCCATTTCTTCTAGATTAATAGTGGGGCTAAATCAGGGGAACTATACAAAAAGAGTTGAGGCCTTTACTGCTTACACAAAAGTAGATGTAAACACCCTCAAACACCTTCAGTGCTCAAAGTCAGCACTGTAACCTGGAGTCATTGTGTCATTTCAAATCCAAATCCATGGAGGACATACATTCTGACTGTACTATATGTGATCATTTCTCTTATGGATGTGCACTGTAACAAGACAGAGATCAAGCTATTGATGTGATTGGACAGTTTAGTAATACATGTGATAACAGAGTGTGGTTACAGCCCTACATCATTGTATGTTACCTGCTCTCTAATGTTTGTGCCCTGTTCTTTTTTTTTTTCCAGATGATGACGATCGAGAAATGCAGGGAGATCGCGCTGTGGATTATGGAAAAAGACATCAAGTCATTGACATTCTTTGAATGGGAACGTATACAGCCACAATTCATTATACATTCAGACCTTCCTCTACAACTAAGGTCTCTATCGACAAAATAGACAGAACATCAACACCTTTTAAGAATTTATAAGGTGCATCGTCAATGTCATGGACTATTTTGAAAAATGGACGTTGCAACTAATGAATTAATTCTCAATGACGTAACATAATAGAAGGAAAAGAAATAATAATGGCATTGTCCTGAGCTGCTGTTGATTGGGGGATGGTTTTACAGTGAGTTATGATAGTAGAGATCATAACCCTGTACATTGAATGTTGAGTTATTTGATATTTGCCTCAATTGATAACACGGTGATCCCATTTGACTGACATCAGAATTTCAGGGTCAAACTTTTTTTGTTTGTTTTTGTTCTTGCTACTTTTCTTGATCAGGTTGCTGTTGCTTGATATACAGTACACAAACCCTGAGGTTTTTATCTAAGGGACTAATTCATCATTCTGTCTTTCTAATATAATTTCGGGACTCGTATGGGATGACCATTTTTTTGTTTATAGAACTGGGAATACACTACAACTGTCAAAGACTCTGCTTGTGGTCTATTAAATTGATTTCTCTTTTTGTGAGACACTCAAAAGTGCTCCTCATTCATTTTCTTTAATGATGCCATGGCATGCATTTTAAATATTTTCTTAATAATAAAACTGAGCAAAATACAGATACTTAAGCAATACTTAGAGCAATGTTAGTGTCTCCTGCAGTGTGCAAAGATGACCTAAGCACATATGGAGTTGACATACTGTACACATGCTTCCATTAATGAGGTTTCTTGTACATAATGTAGCTGAACTGTTACCATTTATACTGAGGAAAACTAACTCTTCACGTCTAGGGAAATCTGTTAACATGAAATCAGTTCTGTTTGTGCAGCCAGGAAAATGGATTTCTCATGGAAAGGCACATTGGATGTAATTTAATTTTATTAAAGTGATGGTTCATGTCATTAACAGTTGTAATAATGCTTTGGAGTCGGTGTAAAATGTGGAAATGATGGTTTGTCATTTCTATTGAGTGGGTTACTCTACCTATTAAGCAGTTATATTATTGCATAGTTGTCAAGGGCCTGGATGCCTCGTGGTAATGCCCGCTGCTTTTCTTTTCAGTAATGATAAATTATCTTCAGTGTATATACACACTAATGATAAATTATCTTCAGTGTATATATTATCTTCAGTGTATATACACAAAAAAAATCATAAATGTCCGATAGTTTGTTGACCTCTTGGATATTCTGTCATTTACTACTTGCAAAACAGGAACTACGAAGAGGGGCAGTCCTCGACCTGTGTTAAAGCTGGGAGAGGAAAGAGGCGAGTGGTAATGTTCGATGCAGACAGTGGCTGATGTTTTTTTGAGGTAAGGGGGTGTGTCTGTGTCCCATACGGGTATCTGTCTTACAGAGACTGAGCATAGGCGGGAAATGGCGCCTGGTAACAACGTGTATCATTTCGGAGACGGTCTCTGAGTAGCTACATGCACAGAAAAAGTAGGATCGGCTCACGGAAACAATCTGTGCTGATGGTTAGTCTGATTTGAGCCATTATATCCCGATACTGTGGATCACTGCAAGGTTAGTCGGTAGTTAACCATCCATTTTCGTGCGTTTGTTGGCTTGCGGTATATATATTGTTGGCTAGCGAAAGGATAAACACGTTCCCTCCCTGCCTGTGTACATCTGTTAGCCCGAAGCAGTTTTTCAAGAAGGCTAGATGGGGTTAACGATAAGCTAGCTGCGCTAAGCTAAGTTACATAGCTAATATTAAGGACAGCTAAAACGGCCTACCATGGATCTGGCTAATTCCTGGTCGATTCGATGTCTTAACCTAATTTTAGCTCTCTTCTGGTCTCTATAGCTACGTCACTGAATAAATGTTTGCTAGCACATAAATGATTCAGAAATGCAGCTGATTACAGTTTGTTAGAATAATCGGCAATTAACTGATATAACAAGCCAGCGTCAGTTTAAGTCTTGTTAGCTCAGACGTACTAAGGCTAACGTCGTCTAAAGTGGCATTCCACAACTAAACTTGGAGAGGTTTACATTATTAGCCAGCTAACGCTGTCCTTTCCATTGAATATTCCAAATGGTGTTGAGCTAGACATGTTCGCATCGATTAATTAGATCTCAGCTGCATCGTTAAATATAAGGCTAGCTGCCCAACAAATCGTTTTGATAACATTACCTATTAGCTAGGTGTTTTGATTAACGATGAGTTTTACTTTTAAATTCCGCAAAGGCTAACATTGTAGTGAGTAAACACATAGCTAATTCGAGGGAACAGTCGAGTCAAACGAAACGTAAAGCCAGTTATCTCACAATTGTTCCTTTATTTCAACTTAGGATGCCGCACTTGTTTGCTAACGATAAGTGAGTCTAACTGCACTTGCCTTGTTGAAATGCTAACGTTACCATTGGCAGACCCTCAACTGAAGTGTCGGGATGTGTTAGTATAACGTTACCTGTGAATCTCAGTTGTACAATTTGGCAGTATTAAAATAAACTGCACTTATGCAAAGGTATGTTGCACACCATCACCCGTGACGCGTTAAGTGCAGCGAGCTAGCCCTTCGATTAGCTGCAAAGCTCGGCAGCCGTGATTTAATTAGATGTATGTGTGTGTAAACTTTTCAAACGTTTACGGACTGACTGTGCCAGATGTGTCATGCCCATAACATTTTTAATGATGATGTAGGCTGTTGCCACTTAATAAGCCAGTTAAGTAATATTAGCCTGGGAGGTTTTTTTTTTCTTTTTGCTTGCTGGGTGGACGGTTTGTCGGAAGGGCCTCACCTGTGTCTCCACTGTTTCCATCGCTAGTGTTTGCTAGCTCACTCCTACACTCGCAGTGTAGCACGCATGTTCTTATTTCCCGCTCACTTGCTCGTACCTGCATATGTGCATGATCCCTGCTTGGTGGGTGATTGCCTGGAGCGGTGAATGACCAGCTACGGTGTTGTGGTCATGCAAGCCTTGACCAGGTTTGATCATATATTAACTTAGTAAAACAAAATTATTTTTAAATTGATAACATCTTAATTTCTAAGTAATAGGCATAATTTAATATCTTTAGGAACAACAACACTGCCAAAATCTCCATCACTTTACATTGCAGTCGGGGAGAATGACAGTTTGCAGCATCTGTCAAATTTTGCAGCAGTTACAGGTAATGTGATGAAAGAGATAAATTGTTAAAAATTGTGTGGATGTTTACCAAACATTCAAGCTGTGGTCACAAAGAGACAATCAGTAGCCTAATACTGATTTGTGGCAACCTGTGTAATATTTGGATTTGTTCAGCAACTCCTTGTTGCAGCTTGAAACATCCATGTAGTAAAATTAACACCTCTCAATGTCAAAAGAAAAAAAAAAGCAAACTTTCTGCAAGGCTGTGTTAAAGAAATTTCTGTCACAATGTATGAACATGATTGTGGAATTGTAATTGTACAGCACAATCTGAGGGAAGCAAGCAGAGATTTAGTAGCTGGTAGACAAAGTAGTTTTAAATGAAGTCTGTCTAGCCTGTCTTTCTGTGATTAGTACTGTAGAAGTCACAACTTTCAGGCTTGACCCACGTTTCCTGCCTGCCTTTTCATTTAAATTAATGTACCATGACTTTGTTAAAGTAGCCATTTGAGTTTGAGTGTGTGTGCAATTGAGTAGCAATGTGTACATCTCTGGTGTTTTCATGGATAGACTCCTGTGTAATGTAAAGCAGATGTACTGAAGGACATTTACAGGATGTGTGATGTAGCACATGTATTGAGAAGGTGCTATCATGTGTTTAGTATTACTGATAAGTTGTGGATATGTCCGGACACATTTTCAGCCAGCTGCTGTTATGTAAGCACATTGGGCTGGCATGTTTGACAGTTTGTGTTCACTGTGAATAGTTTTTGTTTCTGTGTACTTGAGAACAGCTTTGACCAATTATATCCCTCAAGTCAAGAATGAGTGGTTTCCTTCAGATAGGTTTTGGTACAAGTTAACCACAACCATTAACTTAATCAATACCTATAATTTATCAGTTTATATATTTTTCTGTGCCAACTTAAACACTGATCTTGCATACGAGTAGTAGTAGTAGAGACTGTTTGTTTGTAGAATGTGTATAGTCATGTTTTTTTCTGACAGTATGGATGGAAGTAAAGCCAGCTGTGGCTGCTGTGATTCACTGTGATGTAAGTGAAATGGGATCTTGAATGCATCCAGATGTTGGTTGAATATGCACCAGTAATACCCCACTACACATAGATGCACTTCACAGACTGTGTTGAGACTGTTAGAACAACCTGTTTGTCTAGCTTAACAGCTGAGTCTTTGCTTAGATTTGTTTTGTTGACTTACTTATTTCCTCCTTCTCTTCCTGTATTTGCCATCTTTCTCTGTGATTCTCTAAAACAGCCTTACATGTGACTGCTAAAACAATGAGGCTGAGAATGCGTAAGGCGTCTCAGCAGCAGAACCCCAGTCTGGCAAACCGCCCATCTCGGACCAAGCGGAGGCATTCAGAAGTGGAAGAGGACACGCCTACTAGTGGAGGGAGGGGCTTGTTCTCGACCATCAAGAAGTTAATCAGAGGAAATGCTGTGAAGGTAACATCTATGATCATATCAAATGACCTTGCTTTTTAATGTAATTGAGTTCAATGCAAGTAGGATTGTGCTTCCCCTTCTAGAAACTTTGAGATATTGTAGAAGAAGAAGTGGTCCTCTTGTCAGTGCATTTGGTGTAACAGAGTTAACTAAGCTTTTTTGGCACATCTGTTTTAAAACTACACGGTGCTCTCCAGGTCTCTGTTAAATACAGTGTTTCTTGGTACGGAGTGTCAGGTTTCCCAAGAAATGTCTGGTGGAATGCAGCCGCTTGTCTGAGCACTCGGATTCAGGTCTAATTTTAGTTCCTGGCTCACAGAGTTTGTGTGCAGGGACAGGAGGTAGTAACAAGTGGGAAAGTCTACTCCACTAAAAGGAGCTCTTCCTCTGAAAGGATGGGGGTTCTTTCTAATGTTTTTACATAATCTTGGTATTTCATGGCTCTCCCTGCATTTCCTCATTAAGTCCTAATTTCAGACTTGTGCTATACTTTTTCTTTCTGCCCATTTGTTTCTAATGTAACTCCATAATAAGATATGTGGAGAAAAGTGATTTCTGCCTTTTAGATGATGGATTATTGATATACAAGGCTCCTATAGACTGTGTCACCACGGTGATCTTGCACGTTCATCACGTCATCCCATGTAAGATGCTTGTACGTTGTCAAGTTTGTGGAATGCCAGATGTGTGATAAGTATCTGAATCATAGTGCCATGGTGTAAACAGGAAAAATGTCTTGTTTTGTGCATAATAAAGCATAAACAAGCTTTGGCCATATCCTACTAGTTTGCTTTTTTTTTTACCATCTTTTTTTTAACACTTTGATAAAAAGCTAGTGTGTTTTGCATAATCTCATGTTGTGTTCTGACTGGTAGTTTGCAGGCCTAGTCATATAAGTCTCTAAATGATGCTCTAAATTTCTGTCACTTTCTGAATTTTGATACAACCTGTCTGGACACCCACATTTTGGACATTGCTTAATGTGCCTTCAAAGTTTCCCACAGAATTTGATTAGATTACTTATTAAATAATATCAGACCTGTTGCCTCTGCACTAGTAGCCTCATCAGGAGGAGCCTTTTGAAGCATGGAGAGTATTTTTCAATGATCCTCAGAATTGAGGGAGCAAACATTCAACTCGGAGTTAAAGAATTAACATTGTTAGTCGTTTTTATGAACAGTCGATACTGACTAGCAGCTCTGTGCAGCATGTTAACTGCAATAACCAGCTGTATTTTAACCTTGACTTACTAGCTAGGCCTCATGTGCTTATTAGAATAAAATAGTGTTTGGATTGGTGGGTCCTGTAATATTAGTTAACTTTATTTACATTGATTCCCTATAATGACTCACAAGATGTCTGGTGGTTCCAGTGTGTGTGCTCAGGAGGTAGAGCGGGTCGTCTCCTAACCGGAAGATTAGTGGTTCAATTCCCAGCTTGTCCAGTCCAAGTGTCCTTGAGCATGACACTGAACCCCCAGTTGCTCCTGGTGATATCACTGGTGCATCAATGTGTTGTGTGCTTGGTAGTGCAAATGGGTGAATGGCCAAATAGTGTGAATGCACTAGAAAAGTGCTATACAAGTATAAGACCATTTACATACAGCAGGGAGAAGGTAGGTAGGACTTCATTGATCCCACAATGGGGAAATTCCTATGTTCTAGCAGCAATAGAGAGCAGCAACAAAACACCATAAGAACAAACACCACACGACATATCTAGAGAAACAAATTCCAAAGTACCTAAAACCAAACAGAATATAGTATTTGAGAGACAATCAAGAACAAGAATGATCCTCCCACAATTAATCCCTTAGAACAAGACAAAATATAGTATTCAAGAGATTAGGGACAAAAATATTACTCCCATAATTAATCCTGCAATGGGGGAACTTACTGTGTTTCAGCCATGAGGATCTCTGAAAAGCTACTCAAAAATACCTAAAACAAGACAATATAAAGTATTCGAGAGAAATCAAGAACAAGATTTTACATCTGTGCATATTTACAATGCATTTTACCCACAGTATTGCACCTCAGTTGACTATTGCATAGTCCCTCATAATTTCCCCTAGCTTATCACTGCAGTGATGTATTGTACAGTCTGATAGCCGTGAGGAGGAACGACCTACAGTAACGCTCCTTCTTGCACTGGGGATGTAACAGTCTTGTGCTAAAGGAACTGTTCCGAGGAGGAAGGGAGGGTGGGCTGACTGAATGGGAGTGTGGTGCTTTGGTGACTCAATGGTGCAAAACACAGTGGTAGAGATCTTTTATGTTATGAGAAGTGTAAAAATATTTTCTGTTCATTACAAAACAGGCAGGTCAAATTTAATTATGATGGAATGAAATGGACTATAGTGTACCACCAAAGTCTAGGTTATAAATGGGGAACACAGTGTGATTTTGGACCACTATTGTAGATTGACTATCAGCCGTCCCTGGTAGCTAGTGGTTAAGGCGCAGCGCTCTCACCGCTGCGGCCCGGGTTTGAATCAGGGTTGCGTCAGGAAGGGCATCCGGCGTAAAAAAAAAATAAAAAAAAATGTGCCAACTGTTTACTGTATGATGTCTGGTCTCCCTTAGGTGCAGCAAGAAAGCCCAGCCAAGAAGAAACGCCTCCACTGTGATGTGGATAACAACCTGATCACCTCAACACCACCGAACACCAACAGCCCCCGCAGGACTATCAGCAGGGTTGGCAGGAGAGGCTCTGTTAATGGACGTGAGTGGCGCTAAAAAAAAACTCAACTATGTTCTTTATTTTCCACTTGTATTTATTAAACCTGTTACTCCTCTTCTACAGAGGCAACCAATCATGACAGGAGTAAGGAGAAGCCCAATGGCAGTCTGGAGGAAACGACTGCCGTTGAGCTGACCACCAGCCCTCCCAGAACCACCCTTCTCGGGACCATCTTCTCACCAGTCTTCAACTTCTTCTCACCACCTAAAAATGGTACGCACACCCTGAGCTGGTTTGATTCATGGTTTGCATCATAAACAGAGGCCATGGTCAAATTTATATGTTTACTCAAATGTATGGTAGGCTGAATTTGTGGGGAGTAACAATATAATGTGTATTAGTGGAAGACTGCAGTACATGTCGAGCCTTTCCTTTTCATCAAACACTGCCTTTAGCACCCAAATGGCAATCTTTAATGTGAGTTTAGCGAGAGTGATGTATTGTCATGTTGTGCTCCTTTTTTTTGTTGTTTTTTTTTTTTTGTCACAATTGAGACTGTTACTACAATATCATTTCTGGTAAAAATGTCTTGTTACTGCATAAGCACATCTATGCTAATATTTTGATGATCCTTCAATGTATTACATTGTATGCTTAGTATTTTTGTCACTGTGGTGCTGTATGTTTTTTGTGTCAGATAGTATACAGCTGGAATGTCTCTTGTTTGTTTTTTCAGTCTCTTCTGGTTCAGACTCTCCAGACCAGGCATTAGAGGCTGAGGAGATAGTCAAGCAGCTGGACATGGAACAAGCTGTGGAGATGCCAACTGGTACAGCCACATCCACACAGGAACTGTGTGCTACCACTAACTTCTACTCTAGTGTTTCACAGCTGCCACCTCTTCGACCTCCCCACATCCCTGAGGTATCTCCCATAGCAGAGGGAGAGCTTGATGCTGATGCCGACCTTCCGCCCCTCACAGGTAGGTACTACAGCCGAGCATATACGATTCAGAAACAAAAGTTTTTACCTCATTACATTGCTTTGTTCTGCCAAGTTATAATGATGTAGGTTACAACTGCTGGTTCTCACTTGTCTTATTCTTGTTTTGGTCCAAGCTCCAGGCTCCAGTCCTGATCTGGCATATGTTGACTCTTCTCCTGCCGCAGTACCACCGGAGGCATCATATGAGGATGACTGGGAAGTCTTTGACCCGTGAGTAAAACACCATGTCATCACAAAGTGCTTCCTAAAGTCAGATCCCATTGAGCAGTATTTACCACAGAACCAGAATGGAGACATTTGGAAATCCATCAGTAGGGCAGACAGTTTGACATGTCTGCAAAATATAAACAAGACATCAGTCAGTGACAGCAGGTTTTTAATTGTGGGTAGAATTGCTGGCAGTGGTTACGGGTCCTTTTTGGGTAAAGTAAAAAAAAAAAAAAAAATCTCATGTAAACTGATGGTCACAAATTGTTGATTGATAATTAAAATTGACCAACATTTCTGGTCAGTTTTACACGCACAATGGTTCATGTTGCGTACACAGGGCACAGGCCAAAAGAGTAGCGTGAGCCACGCATAGCATTTCATGTGCATGAGGGTCACACTCATGTCTATACCGGGTGCCTGTTCACTCGCATGCGGGAAGTGTTTGGTGTAGAAGAAACATACAGAGGAGCCTACAGTAACACCTAGGAGAGGGGAAAACTACAGCCCAAAGGTCTGACAAATAGTACACAGTGAGGGTAATGCTGGCTCCACATGAAATGCATGTACAGTGTATTAACGATGCACCGCTACCACATTTTTTTTCTTTTTCTGACCGAGTCCAGGTACTTAAGTTTGAGTACACGCCAATATCGAGTACCGATGCAAGTACTTAATAATAATGTGGTTTCCACTACAAAAACTACTATGACCATGAAAAACTTTAGACAGTTTGTTTTCATGAGATTTACCTTCTGATTGTGATTAAATTATAACAGGAGGCTGTACAAATTTGAAAACTGATAAACACAGCACTGCCACCATTCCTACTGAATATAACTGAGTGAGGGTCTGTAGCCAACTGCATAACATACTGTAATACAGTGGTTTTTAGCCTTTTATAGGAGCTCGACCCTCTGTCAGGACAAAACCTCATACCTTACTTCCCTTATCACCAAGCATAGCCAAACATTCTGATGACGCTACTTGTATCGGTCCTAATGCTTTGTTGCCTTTATGTAACTGTTTATTTTAAGACTAAGTGTTCTTTGTTGTGCCGTGTGGAGTGGCAGCAAGTTACAGCAGCTGTGTCCTCGTGTTCTTTTCCGTGTTTTTATGAAGTCCTGTTTTTATGTGTCTGTTCTTATGGTGGTGTCTGTTCTTATGGTGTTATGTTGGTTGTTCTTTATTGCTGCTATAACAGAAATTTCCCCACTGTGGGATCAATAAAGTACTTGCCTACCTCCAGGGTTGATGTAGACTGTCCTGCTTGGCCTTTCCACTGTATTTTCTCTGTTTAGAGGAGGGAGGGGCTGCACTCCTAACATACAGGCAGTGATCAGTGTGTTTGTACACGGTGCTTGCTCTGTGCACACGCACCACCACCCCCATCATGTTTCGGTAGGCTCTTATAATTGGGGAAAACCCCTATAGAGGGTGGTCTTTTGTGCCTGCCTTGTCTGTCAGTGTACTCCTTTCTGATTGGTTAACCACAGAGTGAATACAGGCTGATCCATAGGTGACAGTTCAACACAGTATGCTGTAAGTTGAAACTTGGAAGTATTCCACCTGGCTAGGAATATTATGGTTCAGATCAATGTAGTAAATGACTTGAAGTATGTTTGATGTTTTGTTGTGTAGGTATTTCTTCATCAAGCACGTCCCTCCACTGACAGAAGAGCAGCTCACCCGGAAGCCGGCCTTGTCACTGAAGACGCGCAGCACACCTGAATTCTCTCTGGTCCTAGATCTGGTCAGTTGTGTTGTACAACAACATATTTATTCATTGATTTTTACTGTTTTGTTTTGTTTTTTCAAGCTGTTTAAACTTAATGATAATGATAACCTCTTTTATTGGCCAAGTATGTTTTATATATACACACACACACACACACACACAAGGAATTTGTCTCTGGTACAGAACTGAGGCAGCAATCTGCGGTGCAAACTCCACAGTTGTCATAAGATTAAAAAGAGATTCCTATTTTCTTTTTCAGGATGAAACGTTGGTTCACTGCAGTTTAAATGAGCTGGAGGATGCAGCGCTTACCTTTCCTGTTCTCTTTCAGGATGTCATTTACCAGGTAGTGACTTCACTGAAACCTTTTTTTAAATTTTCCATGATGCCACTAGAGGGAGCTAAAGTCATAAGTGCAAAAAGCTTGATTTGATTTGATTTATTTATTCTTTCAAGCATGTAAAGACAGTTGATATATCAACACACATAATTTTACACATATCCAACAAATGCTAATCCAATATCAATTTGCTTATACCTAGTACATGCTTGAATGGAGTAGGAAGAAGTCAGACTTATCCAGTCCTACCCCATGAATACAGCAGACAAGAAGGATCTAATGGTACTTACTGATCTCTGGTCAGGTTCAGGTGATGAGCCCTTCTCTGCAATTCTTCTCCTGTAAGACAGAGTCCAGAATTATTTCTGAAAAACAGTTGCTATTTTTAAAAACATATCATCATGTTTAATGTTAATATCATAAAGCACAGACCACACAATTCCTCCTGAACTCCACATTTTTAAAACCTAAATTCCTTAGATTTCTCTAGATCTTACAGTGATACTTCTCTGTCAGCAACAAAGTGCATTTAAATTACGATTTTACTACATATCATCTCATAATACTGAGGAATAGTGAGAGTGATGAGTACATGAACTTATTCTTCAGGTGGCACAACAAAATCCATTGCGACCAACATTGGGGTTTGCTAAATCTACTGTATGGCAACTGTGTCAAGTTTCACTTTTCTGTAGTATATGAAACAAGATCTGAAATTCATTCATATGACTCAAGTGCCTATTTTGAGACGTACTGAATCGAAGAGTAATATATGATGTGTCGCTACCTCCTTGCTAACAGGGCACTCATCTCCTCCATGAGCCCTCCTCCTCCAGGCAGAGGGCCGTTGCCTCTGGCTTCAGATTTGGCCCCTCCAGCCCCTGGCATGGCTGCTGCCAGAGCGGCCGCCGCCT